CCATGGTGAGGCTTGGAGCTCCACCCACTGCCATCACCATGCTCTTGCAAAGCATAGGCCAGTGACCTGGAGATCTCATCAGCATAGCGCTCCAGGCCCTTGTCTGTCACCAGCATGCCTGGACAAGGGCCTGCCTTTGCCTTGCATGAAGGTGCCACCTGAGTGCTCAAAACAAGCTGAATCAAATTATTGTTCAAAAAATGTGACAGCCCTGATAGCCTCTTGTTTGCACTGCCTGTGATCTTGATTTGAAGCCTATATAGGCTAAACTGAGTTCAATTACCTTAAAGCCTCTATAGGCTACACATTTGCAAGCTAGGTGCATAGATACCTTCTTCCAATGGCCTCTTTGCTCTTGGAGCTGCAGCAGGAGCAGCCTCACAGACACAAAACTGGTTTCAAATAACACTATAGCAAGGCTAAATGTGGTGCATCAATTGTAGTGCAAAAGGGTCTGGTGGGCCTCAACTGGTTCTGCCTTCATGCGGTTGATCTTTTCAGACTCTTCTGCCTTAACACACAGGTTTAAACCACAACAGCAATGTGTTAGCTTATAGGCCTGCATGACACTCAGCTTGCAATGGCTTGAAGCTTGGATGCACACTGCTTTACACACTCCCTGAGTGCATAACCATTGTCGTCTCCCAGGATTCATCCAATGCCTCCTGCCAATGACACCAATGCATAAGATGAGAGTGGGGCTCATGCCTACAATTATCACTACCAAACCATCTCACCTCCTTGGCATGCTGGGCTGCCTTCTTGGTACTTGCTTCCTGCCAAGGTGAGTCCAAACTTATTCCATTATTCCAAACATGAGTCCTTTGTGCAAACAAAACTGTATCATCTAGATAAATTGTCCTTCTTGTACCACTGCATTTCTTTTTATTCCTTAGGCCAGTGGTACTAGATCCATGTGACAAGAATGTAGCACACAGTTGACAAAGCCTGGTGTCAGTGAACAAAGCTAAGCGCAGCCAAAGTGTCGTGGTGCCTAGCCCACATATCATTCCAATCCCATTCCTCCTGTGGAGCGCTGCTCTTTGAGCTGCTCATCTTTCACAAGGCAGTGTGAAGGCTTGAGCTTGAGCACTGCCCCTGCAAAACAACAAAAATTAATCATTTGAACAACTTATACTGTATACATTTGTATAACCAAACAAAAAGCCTGTATTGGCTTGTAACTTATGACACACATAAGCCTTTAATGGCCACAATGTCAAGCCTGCATAGGCTAGCTTGCAAAAGCTGTGGTACCAGCCTAGAAAGGCCAACGCAAACATTAGCCTGTAAAGGCAGCAGCACAACAAACATTAGCCTGCAAAGGCAGCAGCAAAACATTTTCTACCAGCCATGTGCGGTGCAAATTGGTTACTCTTCTGATTCTGAGCCAAGCTTCTGCTTTTTGCAGTAAGCACCAGACTTTACATAGCTCCTTTTCTTTTCAGTCTTGATGCAGTCATCCACATCCAGCATTATGTAATCAAGGACTGCTTTCAACGCAGAAGATTCCAAAGGAATCACTATGTCACTCTCTTTCCAAGTATGGGGTCTCTTCAGCTCCACTAATGAGCTTCCAAGCTGGATTGACACTGTGCTTGGGGCCTTCTTCAAAGCTTGCCTCAAGGTCTTGCCACTTTGTTCAACACATTGTGTCCCTTCTGCGCCATCATCAAATGGGTTTGCTCCATGTTCTTCAATATTGTCCTCCTCCTGCTTGGTCAGAACAGCTTCTTTGATCTTGTCCTGGATGCTCTTCAGCTGAGGGCTTGCTGCCAGACTAGGGTTTGGAGCCTTCTTGGCAGCTTCCAGGTGGCCCAAAACAAGCCTAGCAATGTTGACATTGCTGGCCCTCAATCTCAGCCATCTCTTTCCATCTGGGTCAGCTTGAAGCAGACCAGGTGGCACAGTGATCTTGGGGCCATTCCTGTACCTCAGAACCACAGTCTCATAAATTTCCATAGCAGCAGCACACACAAACAAGCTGGAAGCCAAAACCTATCATGCACCTTGTTTGGCTTCAGGGCACAAACTACAACAAAACCAAAACAGCCTGCAATGGCTTCTGAGAAAGCTTGTATAAGCTGATTCCACAAAAGGTTCACAACACAACAAATAGCCTGCAAAGGCAATGGGAAAGCTTGCACAAGCTGCTTCTAGTTAGTGGGAAAGCTTGCGCAAGCTGGTTCAACTTAGCCTTTTTTTCACACCATGGTCAGGTGACTGTTCACTTCTTGACAGTCTTCCTTTTCTTAGATGAATCGGTCTCTGATGGCTCCATCAGCAAGGGTGTGCCTTTCTCAACCACCTTCTTGTTCACATAGGCTGTGACAAGAATCTCATCAATCTTCAAAACTTGCTTGGTCATGCATGCATCATCCATCTCAGCAGCCTCCTTCATCAGCCAATATGGGCTGAACATGCCACTCTCCTTGACAAAGTCAACCCGCCAAGGTTGCACAACAAAGACTTGGTCCTTTACATGAGCAATTTTGATGGTGCACTGGTTTTTTGTAATCTTCTCAACAGGCATCAGCTGTAGGGTACCTAGTGGAAGCAATACCAGCTTGCCCTTGCTGTACTTGCATCCTGAAAACAGCTCATGCATAGTGCTGACTAGCACCTGTGGATCGCCAAG